AACCACAATAATCTGTAAATTCTACAAAGAAATTATTTGTAAAAAAAACTTGTTAAAGTTGTTTGTTCAGTATTTTACGGTACCATTTTGATATCATTTTACACCAAGTAATTTCAGATTTTTAAACAGTATGCACACACATACACACACTGTAATTTCAAGAAGTAATAGTTCACTGTGCTTCTGTACCAATGACATTTAAAAGCTTATGTAATGTTTGAGAAATACTGACCACTTGTGGTATAATATAGGACACACAACCCATACCACAATTACCACAAAAAATCAAGGTCACATTTATTTAGGAAAAATCACTTAAATTCAGTCAACACTTTCACATTATAAAATTTTTTTATGAGAGAGCAGAGACTGGCTGAAATCATGGTTTGTGATAACAGAAGATTTTGTATGACAAAAAAAAAACCAGTGGAGTAACAATTACTGAGGTTTAAAAAAGTAAACCATTCTATTCAAACCCTTTTCAAAGTATTTTATATCCAGCTTTGCATTCTATTATTATCTGTATGTCTTTGTTTCTTACACTGATTTGTAGTCTGAATTTGTAGGCACTCTTCACATTCTTCATTTTAAACACTTTTTAAAACTATCTTCTAAACGACACACGTATATATGGTCTTCTAGGGATTTAATAATCATGTTTTGAAAGTGCAGTAAATTCCCCAGTGATCACTGGTGTAACGGCCACAGTCCAGTTTCTCCATTCCGACCAACACCATGTGGTCAGGAGTGACTCTTGAGCCGGTTTTAGCAGACCTAATGAAGATGCGGTCGAAGCGACATCTGCTGATGTAAGGCACAGTCTTGTTGCTGTTTGCTTTGGTGTCCCAGGTGTATCGGCAGTGTTCCTGTTTGCCCAGCTGTTCCCACACATCACACACACCTGGAGGCAAACCTCCCACCTTTACCACCTACACGGACAGAAACAATCTTCAGAAATGCTGCATCGCACTAGTGACTTTCACTGCGCTTTCATTCCTCCATCATATTTGGAACTACTGTGATTGTTAGTCCAGTGTTTCCCAACCTTTTCTCCTATTCACAGGCCCATCAGTCAAACTCAACTACCCTTCATCAACACCAAACTGAAAAATGGGTTCATTTGAATGTGTACACAATACACAATTTCACAGACATGAATTGAAAATTGTGTTTTCTTTTATACGTTTCCACTCAAATTCTTTGCGTACCACCAGTTAGGTCACTCATCTAGTCTTTGTGGTGAATTTTAAAGCCTTTTTTTTTTTTTACCTCGGTGTCTCTGAGATTGGTGTCCCCAGCAAAAATTACAGTAGCATCTTCTGGTGCTTCCTTCATCGTCTGAAATGCAACTCGCAGTTGTTTCATTCTCTCCTCTGATTGGTTCTTACAGCTTTCTAAATGTGATGTCATCAAGTATAGCTTCTGACCTGAGAAAGTCACCTTAACGAGATACAACAGAGTCAAAAAAGAAATTAATGTGTATGAATTATGAGGAGCAAATGAATTATGGCAGAGACACAACCTAGAAAAGGAAATATTAAAGTATACATACACTACCGTTCAAATGTTTTGGGTCAATAAGAGTTTTTAAAAAGAAATGAATCATTTTATTCAGCAAGGATGCATTCAATTGATGAAAAGTGACAGTAAAGACATTTATAACGTTACAAATGATTTCTATTTCAAATAAATGCTGCTCTTTTGAATTTTCTATTCATCAAATATCCCTGAAAAAAAATCAGTTTCCACAAAATTATTAAACAGCACTTGAGCAGCAAATCAGTATATAAGAAGGATTTCTGAAGGATCATGTGACACTGAAGACTGGAGTAATGATGCTGAAAATTCAGTTTTGACATCAGAGGAATAAATTAAATTTTAACATATATTAAAATAAAAAACAGTTATTTTAAATTGTAATAGCATTTCACAATATTACTGTTTTTACTGTATTTTTTTTAATCTCACCAACCCCAAACTTTTGAACTGTAGTGTATTTCTGCTTCCATTAAGAAATACACCTGTGCCATTCATTATACCCCAATACAATCTTTGGATAATGCTTATAAAACCATAAACTCACCTGAGCAACTAATAGATTTCTCAACATTTGTGTTGTAGGATAACAGATGATCTCACTTTCCAAAAGTTTTACTCTTGATTTCTTCAGCATAATCCCAGTGAAGTATCCATCATCGTTTCCTTTAAGGACAGGGAACTTCATGAATCAGTAAATAACTCATAAATAACTTCACTGAGCACTGAGGTTTCTTACCTTCAACAAACAGATAGCTGACAGCATGTTTCTTAAGATACTGAATATACGATGGAATGAGTTCTTGAAGAAAAACCACATCTGGTGTATATCTACAAAATAACAACGGATAAAAGAAAGCAAAGAGTTACGAGTAAAACAACACAAACTTAGTGTCAAATAAAACATGAAATAGAGAATATCAGGGGTCTTTAAACAACTCACAGAGCTAGATATGAACACAAGCCCCTGGCACGCTCTGCAAGACTTAATGTGTCCAAACCATCCACATTCCAGCTGATGATGGAGAGCTTGCTGTCCTCCGCATTAGATTCGGTTACAACACTTTTAGCCTGACTTTCTTGAGGGTTCACACTGCTGGAGCAGGTGGGTTCCTCCGCTGTCAGGTCAATGCTGCACAACAAACAATTTGAAAAAAGATTTCAAATATTATTAGTATAGATATAGAGTATCTAATATGTAGCAAATGCAGTTTTCACTTCCTAATATTTAGAGGAGAAAACATTACCAGTCCATCTGGTCTGTCTTAAATTTCTTCTTTGTTCCTGAAGCCTCAGCAGTGTCAGAAGAATTCACCCCCTTTCTCTTATTCCCAGACACATCTTTAGTTTCCTTTGCATCTTCAACATCAAAGACTGAATCCATATGAGCCTCGAAGAACGAGTTCAATGCTCTCTGGCAGGAACACAGAAATAAAAAAGATTTTTATAAGAACAGCAATGGCTGTAGATGAGAAGAACTAAACACGCTTTACTCAATAGATATTGTTTTTATATAGAAACGTGGTGCAGTAATAGTGCCATACCTCCATATCCCATTCATTTTCTGCTAGATAACACTGCGCCACAGCACTGTCCGATCCAGAGATAGAGGCAAATTGGTCGCAAAGGCTCGTCCTCGTTTCCTCTAGAGCAGACATTTGTTGATCGTTGTGATTACCTGACATAACAGTGTTGAACATGTTCACAGTTGAATATAACGGCGGGACATGGACGCGTACAGCTACAAAAACATTCCGGGTGGAACCCCCCAAAATACGGAGACAATATCAATATTAATGTATGATTGTGGTCGCTAGACCTCATTTATTTTCACCATACTATAAATCACGACCTCAAAGTAGTATTACCCTAATTTTCACATCACATTAAACGCTGCACCCAGAGAGTCCCGAACCGAAGGGATTATTATTGTTCAAATAGAGGCTTTCCGGAAGCATTAAACTGTAGTACTGAAAGAGTCGGTTCTTTCGAACAGTTCGTTTCAAAACAAACGATTCAGCAATTCTTTTATAGCATGACGTAATTGTGTGGCCCCTGGCCAGCCAGTGCTCTAAAACCTTCTATGCACGAATAATATATTGATCAAATAATGTCTAGGCACGTGTGTGCCAGTTCAGATTGTTTGTTTGCAGGAATGAGATATAATTAGCAATAACATTCTTAAAATTCTCAATTTAATTATAAATTCTAAAATTAAGATATGTTGTTGCCCTGAAAATTCAATTTGATTCAGACCGATTCTTGAACGAATCATTTACATCTGTTTTGAAAAACGGTTCAACGGATTGATTGAAAAGATACGACTCAAATGAATCATGAATGATCCATTATTTCATAATAAAAGTCCTAATAGCCGAATGGTCAGTTTAGCTTCTAGAAGAATTCAGATCGAATCGTTAGATTTAGTTTACCTATTTATAAGAATGTAGTGCATTTTTTGTCATTAGTTATCTGCAGTTCTCATCGCTTGTGGCAAGAGGCCTTTTAGCTGAGGGACCCCAAAAGGGCTTTCCTTCGGAAAATAATAATACTCTTATTTTGTATAACATTTGGGCCATCTTTCAAACATTCTGCAAGAGTGAACTGTGTACAGAACTACAATATGTGCTACTGTGTCATGTATGGGGAAGAGCGGGGCAGTATCTCATCAGTGTTGCTATGGTTAAATAAAACGAATTGTTTCCGGTAATTAGAACGATGAATAAATAAGAGTTTTGAAAATATTAAAATACAAATTTTATTAAATGAAATTGTAAAAATAAATATTAAATATTAACACACACACACATATATATATATATAGAAATCTAAGCAGCAACTAAGAATTATTTACTATTAACTAATAACATTATTAGAATTAAACTGAAATATATGCATGTTGTCACAGTGTTCAACTGTATTTTTTCCCCCGGTTAATAATGAAATGTGCAGAAATGTTCAATAGCTTTTTTTTTTTTTTTATGTTTCTAAGACTTGACAAGACAAAACTTATAATAAAAGTGTAAAAATAGAGAAATAAGTGCATTCATCATCTAAAATGGACTCTTGACACTTAAGTTTGTTTGCTTTCCATTTAACAGATACATGAATGCAGCTAAAATTGGAGAAGACGTCCTGATCACTGCACAGGTTTTAAAACAAGGACGGACTTTGGCATTTGCAACAGTAGATCTCACCAACAAGGCGAACAGAAAACTCATTGCTCAGGGAAGACACACTAAACACCTCGGTAGTAGCGGATTATGTACATGCCCTGTAATTGACACGAAACATGTAGTTCTTTGTTATATAATAAACTCCTGCATAAAAAGCTTTGCACTGTTAGGATATGTTCAGCAGTGTTTATTTCAACAGAATTATTCAAACAATGGGTACAACAAAAAGACAAAGACCCACCTTCCCCTTCAACGTGAACTCAGAATTTCAAAAGGGGGAGAAAAGTAATGATTTTATGCCACAAGAATGGACAAAGATGGCTTACGGATACCAAGTCCCAAGCACTGCAATATTTAGTACTCTTAGAACAGGGTGGTCTATAAAAGAAAAACAAATCCATAATGATCCATTTCAAGTTTCTCTACGAAATTTCTCATTAGGTACATTAGCTCTCATCACAAACCCACCACCAATGATCACATCTGGTATCAGTAGCTCATATGTATATATAGTGCATGAGTTGCTCAATTGGTGACAATTACCATCCCAAGCAAAAAACAGCATCAGAATTCCTCCAACAGACAGTTTATGTCAAACTTAGATATACATCACACACTACTCCTCCAGAAATGATAAAGCAAACAAGATTTGTCATATTATAGGCAAGGAATGACAGTCAAATTAAAATGTCCAGCAAAAACTAAGGCAGTAACTGAATGAGAAGCAATGCCTACACCAAATGAGTTAACAAGTATTGTTCACCTTGTAATAGAAGCCTTTTGAGGAAGACTACCCAGGCTCCTTTGTCCTCGGTCACCGATTTGTCATTACTCATGAAATCCCTACTCAATATAACAGACATGTTAACTATCCCTCATAACAGTGATGTTAAAGTCAGTCCAACACACGAGGACCACATGTGAGAGACCTGTCATTGGTTTCATTTTTTTAGTTTTGTTTTGTTCCCTTAACGTAAAGAGTTCCTTCGGTGACTGGTATTGTTGACGGTGCAGCTCCAAGAGAACAACCACTCAAAATCAATGTTCATGCAGGTTTAAATAAAAACTGATCAAAGAGAGGAGAGATGGGGTGAGCCAAACCAAGACTGGTTGAGGGAGGGATTTAAAACTAAAAAAAGGAGCTAAATTAAATCTCACGATGAAAATGAGTGGTTAACAAAAAAGAGAGTTCCAAGCACAAGTTCATATCTATTCGACTGAGGGATGTGTAGATAAGGACAACTTGCTTCGAGGCCTCGAGGGGTGTCTTCCGTGCGTTTCTCCTAGTCAGGCATGTATGGACTGAGGTGGTCCTCGATGTCTCCAACCCCCCAACAGGTGAGCTGATCCTGTGGCAGGTAGAGACAGAGGCTGCACAACTTGAAAACTGTGAGCTTGGTTTTTGGAGTCTGTGGAAGAAAGAGGAGACCAAAAAAATATTAGGCTATTCTTAAGATGCTACATTATGCAGTAAATATTAGGGTATTGCAAGGTCTATAG